AGGTTTTTTTCCCCGGGGAAAAGGGCGGGGGGGGTGGGGGGGGCCCCCCCCCCCCCCCCCGCCCCCCCCCCGCACGGGGAGGAGCCGAGGGTCGCTGGATGCGCGCCCCCGACCCCCCCGCGGGCTCCCCAAACCCTGCCGGGACCCCCGGGATCAGCCCCCGGTGCTGCCCGGGACCCCCGGGAACCCCTCGGGACCCCCGAGACCCCCCGGGACCACCGAGACCCCCGGAAACCCCCCGGGACCCCCGGGAACCCCCCAAGACTCCCCGGAACGACCCGGACCACCGGGACACCCCGAGACCCCCGCCCAGGCCCCGCCCCCAACCAGCTAACCACGCCCACTGCCCCACCCACAGCGTTGGTCCCGCCCCTCATCCAGACCCCGCCCCCTTCTGTCCGCCCCTTCATCAGCTCTGACGTCACTTCCGGCGCGCGCCCAAGATGGCGGCGCCCTTACGGCGGGCGCTGCTGGCGCTGGGCCCGGCCCGGTCGCGGCTCCCGGAGCCGGTTCCGGTCCCGACGCGGCTCTACCGGGCGGATCCGCTGCGGCGCCGCCCGGGCCCGGCCCCCGCCGACCCCGGAGACCTGCGGGCGGCCGCGCGGCGCTTCGGGCGGCTCGGGGAGGCCGCGGGGGTCCCGGTGTGGCGGCTCTGGCCCAGCCCGGAGCAGCTGCGGGAGGCGGAGGCGGAGGAGCGCGAGTGGGACCCGCCGCTCCGGGAGGTGGAGGCCGTGCTGGATCAGCGGGAGCGGGAGGAGGAGCGGCGGAGGAAGGAGAGGTGGGGCTGGGAGCACCGGGAGCGGGACCGGGATAAACCGGGAATGGGACCGGGACAAACCGGGAATGGGATCGGGACAAACTGGGAATGGGACTGGGATAAACCGGGAGCGGGACCGGGACAAACCGGGAATGGGACTGGGATAAACCGGGAATGGGATCGGGAGCACCGGGAATGGGACCGAGAGCACCGGGAATGGGACCGGGACAGGACTGGGAGCACCGGGAATGAGACTGGGACAAACTGGGAATGGGACCGGGAGCACCGGGAATGGGACCGGGAGCACCGGGAATGGGACCGGGACAGGACTGGGAGCACCGGGAGGGGGACCGGGATAAACCGGGAGTGGGACCGGGAGCACCGGGACAGGGATGGGCAGGACTGGGAATACCGGGAATGGGACCGGGACAGGACTGGGAGCACCGGGAGTGGGACCGGGATAAACCGGGAATGGGACCGGGACAGAACTGGGAGCACCGGGACCGCTGGGCCGCCGGTACCGGGAGAACCGGGAGGGGTTTGGGGGGGGTTCCCCGGTGTCCCGGGGCTGTCCCCGGTGTCCCCACGTCCCCGTGTCCCCGGCAGGGAGGAGCGGCAGGCCCGCAGCCTGGCGGCGATGCCGGCGCGCGTGGCCGAGTGGCGCCGGGAGCGCGCGGCCGCGCGGGAGCGCCCGGCCCTGCTGAGGGCAACCACTGACCCCAGGGACCCCCAACCCAGGCACCCACTGACCCCAAGGACCCCCGCCCCGGGACCCCTGGCACAGCTGACCCCAGAACGGGACCCCCACCCAGGGACCCTCTGACCCCAGGGACCCCGGGTCTCCGTGCTGGCACCTCCTGTCCCCATTAACCCAGCCCATAATAATCCCATTTCCCACCTCCCGTTCACTCTGGGCCCTACAAATGGCATTTCCCACCAATGTTAATTAGCTCTGGATGCTAATTATGGCACCCCCCATTAACCCTGGATCCCAATAACCCTATTTCCCATTTCCCCCTCTCTGACCCCTAAAACCATTTCCCACCAATGTTAATTAACTCTGGATGCTAATTATGGATCCCACCCCAAATTCACTTTGGACCCTAAAAGAGGCATTTCCCACCAATGTTAATTAACTCTGGATGCTAATTATGGATCCCACCCCAAATTCACTTTGGACCCTAAAAGAGGCATTTCCCACCAATGTTAATTAAGTCTGAATGCTAATTATGGCACCCCCCAATAACCCTATTTCCCATTTCCCTTTTTCTCTGACCCCTAAAACCATTTCCCACCAATGTTAATTAAGTCTGAATGCTAATTATGGCACCCCCCAATAACCCTATTTCCCATTTCACTTTTTCTCTGACCCCCAAAACCATTTCCCACCAGTGTTAATTAGCTTTGCACACCAATTATGTCACCCCCGTTCCCTGCTGGCGGCACCGCCCCCGCGGCCGTTTCGGGGTCCCCCCGGCGCAGCCCCCAGCCCCCGCTCACCCTCTCTATGGCTTCCTTCTCCTGCGGGGTCACCTGGATGTAGTTCATCTGGGGGGACTCGTCCCCGATGGCGCCCACCTCCCCCTCCAGCTCGCCCAGCTCGCCCAGCGGCTCGTTCAGCATCTGGATGAACTGCTCCTGGTGCTGGCTGATTTGCTGGGGGGGCACGGCTCTGCTCAGCTCGGGGGGCTCAGGGGGGGCTCCGGGGGGTCT